TCTCAAAATATACAAATTCTATAGAAAAACGTCGGCAACTGAGAGACTCATATCTCGAAGAAAAATTGAGCAAGAATTGGGAAATTTCTATCTGTAAACTAATCTCATTGAAACCTTCATTCGTACAAAATTTCCGGTCGAAATTCAAAAATATGATTGTGCTGAGAAAGTGGGGTTTTTTGCAGAGAAAATTCACCGGGAAATCCGATATCTCGGTCCAGGCTCATTATGGACACGTAATATTTTAAATTTGTTAGTTTGGCGGTGAGAGTGATAATATGACCGGAACATAGTTAAGCAAATCATCTGACTTGATAAACAGTTTCATTGTGAGAGCTACTATTTACTGACGATATCACTTTTTTCAATATTTTCCACTTTCTACATTTCTTTCAGCCTTTTTCCAGCATACCGTCATAGCACGTAGCTACATTTTTTTCACGTACTCAATAGGTACTCTATTCAAACTCCGATATCACTAGTATGACTGTTTGTTTTGAATCAGTCATCCGATAGCGTACCGACTAAGCTATGGTAGACACCTGCCGTTGTGGTCAGTATGTGTTTAGTCAGTGTATACAGAGAGTGCAAGAACTGTGAATAAGGCTGGCCCTCTGTCCATAGTTACAGATAGTATTAGTTGTAGAGAACATACATATCGAGCTAATGAATCTACCACTAGGTAGCACCCTATACTGCAAAGCAATCAAAAGTTAGGAGTATTCTTCCTTCCTGCTATTAGGAACAAAAATATTTTCAACAGTTCAATTCCTACCAAGAAAACTCTTTTGAACAGTCCATCAGACTGGAATTATTAATCTCACATTTATTCTCAATTGCTTCATATAGATTAAGTTAACCTGGGAGAACTCAAGTATATGGCTATATTGACGACGATTAAATTTGTATTATTATCACTTTTATCGATTCTTCTTCGATCTTATAGTATTCAATTAGTATACTTAATTCATTTGAATTTTAACGATTGAAATTTAAAATCATTTCAGAACTGTTTCATCACATAGAAAATTCGTAATCATGTCGATTATTGTAATTTTAGTAAGAAATAACAATGAATTTTCTCTAAAATATGAATATCTGAAAAAAGAAATCTCTTTATTTAAGTATCAATGGTCGAAATTCTGCTCGTTCCAAATGTTTTAAATGTCGTTGTTGATTTGCATTTGGTAAACGTTCAAAAGCTGTTTGTAATATTTGCATTGCATCTCCATGACTAACAAGAAAAATTGTTTGATTTTCATATTTTTCTTCAAGTTCTTTAATTAAAGATGTTGTTCGTTCTCGAACACTTTCAACTGGTTCAACTTGATCATTAAAATTTTTTATTGGATTATCTTCATCAGTTTTCCATATAATTTTATAATTTTCATCACTTGTACCATCATATATACCAAAGAAACGTTCACGTAAACGTCGATCTAATTGAATAGTTAGCTTATTATCATTTGAATTTGAAAGATTTAAAGCAACAATATCCGCTGTTTCACGTGCACGACGAAAATCACTTGAAATAATTATATAAGATTTATTCGTAGGATTATTTTGAAGAAATAATTTTGTATTTTCAATTACTTGTGATTGACCATAGGATGAAAGTCCATGAGATTCAATACCTATGTATGGATTACTACTAATAAGATGTGCTACATTAGCTTCAGATTCACCATGACGTACACCAAAATATTTATTACGAAGATTGACCATATCAGATAGATGATTGATAAATGTCATTTTTATAGATAAAAATACTCTTTTGATGATTACGTCACAAGCAGTGTTTCTAACGGAAATCTAAAAACAAAAAAATTGTTTTTGTTTTTACGAACAATGCGTAATGGTTCCATTTTCTTTTCGTCAGCAAAATGTAAAAATAAATTATATTCCTAATTTTTTCTTTAATAGAAAAGATAAACTAAGACATAGCAAATTAATAAGCAGTAAATACACGAACTAAATTTATCATCCGATAAGTTTACAAGTTGTTTACGTGCTATTGTGTATTTATTTTAAACGAATCCATTTTGATTATATTGAGAGAAAACAAACAACAATACAAAAAAAGAATAATATCCTATTTAAGCGTTTTCAGTTTTAGAGTGAAGTTACGTCTAAATATATCTTTCTTGAAAGCTTATTCTAAGTTCTCGCTCGATTGTTCAATGTATCCATACACCTAATATCAGATACATATTCATCTTATGCAGCATTATTGTGGGCATGCAGAGTTCGAATAGTCCGTCCGACGAGAACAATTTTAAGTTGGATTGCTGTTCAAATTCAGAGCTATGTCTTCATTGATTATTGGTAACAGAGCGGAGAATCATTTGTGAAACTTATTGGTTTTCAAAAGAGACGCGTTTAGGCATAAATTCACTCTAAAACTGAAAACAGTTCAATAGAATACTTTTCTTCTTTGCATCGTTGTTGGTGTTCTCTCAATATTTTTGTCCTTTAAATAGAAGTTTTTATTTAATACTACATATAGATGTAAGGGATTTGAAACTGAAGTCGAGATTTCTTCAGCAATGTGTAGTAGGTACAGTTTATTTTTTTAAGCAACGTGTATTCCAAAAGCAGTAGATGTTCTAATTCTCTGCTTGATACACAGGTTATCAGAAACATTAGCCACTACTACTAGATTTATGATTCGTTGTGAATCACGACTAATTGCAAACATTATATTTTATTTCAATAAAGATGTCCTTGTTAATAGTAAAATAACATACATTTCATTTTTACGATTACTGTTAAAGTGTTTTGTATATTTTCAATCATAACATAATCATTGTTTTGACTAATTATTAAATATATGTAATCATTACTTATTGCTACAGTTATAAGTTATTAAAACAAAATGAACAACGTCAAATTATTCGTTCCATAATTTATTTGATTTTCTATAGCTTATACAAAGAAGTATATTAATTGAATTATAAATTCAAATTAATAACAGTTTATAGAAGATTCATAGTTGATAGTGAATGCATCTATGTTATAGGATTTACATACTTTGTTTATCTACAGTGATATAGTACTGATCATCAATAGGCTATATCCGCTATTTTTCATAGCTAAATTCTTTATTCAAATAAATATCTTCTAGTTGACGATGGAAGTCGTTCCACTGATAAACCACTTTTGAATCGGGACAATGTACATGATGAAAACATTAGTGAACTATAAATAATTTGAAAGAATTCGAACTCTTTGTGTATTGATGTAGAGATATTATATTTTTACGGTTTTCTTTAACTCAACACTTTGGTATCCTTCATAGGAATGTGCAGTTTCAGTAAAATATTCAACGAAAACTCACACTGACTATGCTAGATCGACTTTGACTAATTTATCTGGCACATCCATACTGCATGGTTGTGTCAATACTTCAGTTAGCATCGGTCTAGTATATATGCAATATGTCCATGACTGTCAATGTTCAATGAATACCGATCTAGTGTAGTTAGTCTGTCAGTAGACTCACTGTCGGTTAATCACTGTCAGTATTTCAGTATTTTCAACGAAACTAAACATCTGTATCTCTCTCGAAAACACTAGAAAAATTGATCTGCGAATTTTGACTTAACATTTTGCATAGAGACAAGTCTGAAAGAAAATAATTTATTGTGAGAGTTTCTGATCTTTTCATTGTTCCTATCTTCATATACAGTTATAGTAAAAACGTGCCGTTTACATCACTTGCAAAACCCCAGCAGATTCAATATTCTTATTTTAGGATCAAAACTAAATCTTTTGATTAGCTGCACTTTCTAGGTAATAATTCAACTTTCGGAAGAATGTTACCTATACTTCGTACAAATATTTTTTGTAAAATGTTCTCAGTAGTGACCCAACTCTTGAAAGTTTGGAAGGTATAAAAAATGTTTGTGTCCCAGTTAGTATGTATTAAAAAAGCAATATATTTCTAAGTGTTTGCTTTGTGTTGAGAATACAGTTCAATTAATATTATCATAGTAAAAAAATATATATTAAAAGCGCGATGAGACATGCACATCGAGTTGCCAAATAGAAGAAGGAAATGAATAGAAGAGTGAGGCACGGGAATGTTGTCAGTTGATTGAAACCAGGAGACGCATCCACATTTTCTTTTGTCGTTACCTATGATCCAAGAAAGTTTTTTTTTTATTTCAGAAATATCTTCCAGAATTTAAAAAAGACTTAATTTTATATCTTTTTTTTCGATACGTTTAACGTCGAAGGCGTGCACGTTGATCACTATTGCTACAAATCATGCTTTCAAAAAGCATAACTCATTAAAATTTTCTTGAATTAAGTTTTAAGACTTTGAATAACATTTACACTTTTGTAGATGACACTACTTCTCAATGCGAAATTTTTTGTCGGCTGATGAAAAATTCTACGATCTCTTAGTATTTCACTAAAAATAACAGTTACAACACTTCATATGAATATTTGTTGCAGAAGACGACCATGATTGTGAGGACTGTTTGATAAATGAAGCTTTTCAATTATAAAAACTTCGCAACATGTCAATCAATCTAAAGGTCACGACGTTCGTCGATCAATGATGATTGTATAATCGTTACTTTTCAGAAAGAGAAAAAATTTCTAACCTTACTTTATAGGATATTAAGAAAAGAATCATTTTTTTCTGAGTTTTTCAAAAAAAAAAAGGCAAAGTCTTAGTGCTTATTTGTTTTTCTGTTTTTTGACTGATAACAATAATAAAATCTTCCATTATTGAAGTGTGTCACAACTCCCGACATTCCTCGGTTGGACCATCACCGTATATTATAATTCTTTTTTCAAAGAATTCAATTTTCCGAAAACGACATCAAATTTTAAACTCGAATTATAACTGATATTCATAATCTAGCTTACCAATCATAGACTTATCTGAATCTTAACAATGAATCAATTTATTGTTGTATTAAAGAAAGAAAAAACTGTCAGGTAATATTTTATTTATAAAAAAAAAAAAATAAACATTTTTATTTTATTTAATGTGTAAGATTGTTTTCTTCAGTAGATAATGATGTTATTATATTCTGTATATTAATTACATCTGGATGATCGTTTGATAAATATTGAGATCTACTTTTCAATGCATGTTTATAATAACAATAAGCTTCAGAAATTTTTCCTTGTAGATGAAGTATTGATCCAAGATTGAAATAGACTGAAGCAAATAGTTCAGATTGATATGGTGAATTTTCTCGATTATTTGAAAGAATATTTAATGCACGAAAAGCATGCTCAAATGCATGACTAGGTATATTCATATTTTGATAAGTTAATCCCATATTTGAAAATAATGGTATAAAATATAAATTATCTTTTTGATAATTATTCGATCCAGACTTTCGAGTTAAATTCATTGCAGATTTATATTCGTCTAATGCTTTTTCATATTCATTTATACAATCAAATATAATTCCCATATTATAATGTAAAAGAATCGGTCGAATTTTTTTAGTTTCTGAATTAAATTGTTGTTCCAATAATTTTCGTAGTGATTTAAATTGATGTAATTCATTTCTAATAATAGAACTTATTTGAGATAAATCATTATTTCGACGTAATTGATCAACATTTATAAATTGTGTAAGATCAGTTAGATTTTTATCATTTTTATCAATTAATGTTAAATTAACCAACAAAATTGATGGAACATCAGGAAGTTGCTCAATTTTTCCAATACGAAATATACTTGACATTGATAAAAGATATTCTTTTTCATGAACAAATTCACTTACAGTACCAATATTAGCATACAAACAATTTGATTCATTTGTTTGTGAAATAGAAATTTTAAAAAGAACTTTAATATAATTAGTATTTATTTTAGAATCTTGATGTTCAATATACGTTAATGGTAATATTCTTTCTGTATTTGCAAATACAAATTCATTAATACAAATAAGTCCATCTTGATTTAATTGTAATTTAACAAAATCATCATTTGGTAATAATTGACTGAAATAAAGTTGAAGTATTTTTGGTGATGAAGATATTTGTTCTCTTTGTAATTGTTTAAGTTTATTATTAAGTTCTTTTATAAATGGATTCATCATACATAATGTATATAAATCATTTAATTGTAATGCTCGATTAATAATTTCTTGAAAAAAATTATCTCTTGTAAACCACCATATAAGATTATGTTCAGAATAATGTTGTTCAAATTGATCAATTATTTTTAATTGATATTTACTTGTATATTCTGTTCGACAATAATTTATCATATCTTGTTGTTTTATTGAAATCATATTAGATAATATTAATTTACTTAAGATTATATATATATATGGTAATTCTTGTTGATCAGTTGTTGGTAATGTAAAATTTTTATTTAAAATATCAAATTGTAATTGTTCATATTCATATGATAATTGTAAAATAAAATATCTTTTCAATTGTTCACATATTTCTTCTATATCTGTAAAAACTCCAAGAATTTTTTTATATTGTTTTGCCCATGATTCATGAGTAGATTTATTCATGCAGAAAATATATATCGAATGAATTTGATCAAGATCATGAACTAATGGTATAAGTTCTCTTCCCATTTGACCAGATACAATAAGAAAAATATTATTGACATGTTTTATAAAATCTTGACATATATTTAAATCATTAAATGTATGTATAAGTTTCCGTTTTTTACTTACAATACGTCCAAGTTGAACTAATGTATTTATATCATCATCTGAATTTTTAGTTAAATCGATTGATCCATCACACCAAACAACAACAGGTGACATTTCAATTGAAGATTCATCAATAGAAGCCGTTTTCGTTAGATTCTTGTCTCTGTATATATGTTTTCGATTTCCATCTTTTGAATGGAAAGGACCCATGTAAAAATAACAAATATAAATAAAATAAAAGGTTGATTATATAAAATAGCAACTGTTTATCTAGAGCGAATATATATACTATATGATTAAGAAATATTTTATAAATATGAAATAGAAAAGAAAGTAAAATGATATGATAGAAAGAATCCTTTTCTAGCTTATTTCTTTTATTAAGGGTTATTCTCTTCTTTCATGAAATATGATTTTAATTTCGATAGTCAAAGAGAAAAAGAAAAGGTGTGATGAATAATGAATCGTTCTTTATGCTTTTGCATCATGATTTATACTAAGGCAAATTGTTCTGTCTTATGACTCAATGAAAAAAAAGAAAAATATGTACAGGCAATTATGCATCACAAACGAACAGGGGTAAAATAATATAAGATATTGAGTCAAAGAATCATAGAGCGACACTTTTCGTAACCTATTCATTTTTCTGTGTACGCTTCAATGATTTTTTTCGTACGTACACAAGCAATAATATACATGTGATTTATACCATTCATGTAGCGTCATATTTTGCATATTGACTAGCAATTGGCAATCATATTGTAAAGAAGTATTTACATATTTTGATGTATATGGTGATATATTTTAATTAGATTTTGCTGACGTAGATCAACGAATGTTTAGATATATTGCATATTTAATCACAGACGATATTCTGATTACATTCAATAGTATCGTAACTGTAGAGGAAAGATGTGAATCATTGAGGTAAACAAGCTTTTGTCAGTAGAGTGGAGACGGAAAGGAGGAGGGGATGGGGGTTAATCAAATATGCAGGTCTCTGCTTGATGAAAGGGTTTTGGTAGATTTTAGTTGGTGTGGCCTTGATCGTTGGGGAAGCTCAGCCACATTGGTTGCACGACTACTGTGATGGCACTAGTCGTTATCTATGTTCTCTCTTTCTTGTTCTTATGTGAACATTTATTTATGTTTGTGATTTCTTTTTCATGCTCATTTTATTTTTTATTAGTACCATTCGATTCTCGTACATAATGTTTTTTTTATTATTATAATAATTCTATTTGACTGTTTCAATCCATCGTTCAGCTCTTTACTTTGTATACGTTTCTTTTGTTCTCTCATATCTTATCTTTTATTAAGATCTTCTTGTTATTATTTTAGTCAATAAATTTATTGATCGTCATTCATTCATAACTTATAATTATTTCATCATCTTATTATATGCTATCTCATTATATCACCTGGGATCGCATTTCAGAGAAGCACATCAGTTCATGACGATTGATTATTATTTTTCCCTCAAGAACAAAGGAGAAAAACAACTCTTTTCCAGGGATATATAGCTAACTATATTTAATACGAACAAAGGGATTACGCTCCTTGTTTTCGAGATTTGAGGAGGTTATGGCTCAGTGGCGTAACCAGAAAATTGTAGTTGATGGGACAGAACTCTACGATTTTCGGAATAATCTATGAAATATAGTGTCAATGATGTTAATTATTACGTTTTTCTTTTCTTTTTCTGATGGCATGAAGGACGAATACATTTGTCTTTCAACTACCTTGCGGTATAGGATGCTGTTTAGTCGTAGATTCAATAATCCAATATTTTTTCTGCAACGATGACTAATTGTAGCTACGGAGAGAAAACTAGCATGACACAGAGTTCTTGTGCTCAATTGCTTGAGCTACTCATATACACTAACTAGCCACAAATTAGCACAAGAGCAAGTGTATGTCACAACATAGTCAGCACACGATCGGACAGATGATTCGAGACAAATAACCGTTAGTAACTTTTCCAGAATTATTTCATGATCGTTGCTACTAAGATTTGCACATAGTATCTTGTAAATACGTATCGAACAACGCAGCCAGTCAGCCAAGTGTTAGAGCGGTGTCCGGCCTAGTGCAGCCTTGGCTACGTCACTATTATGGCTTTATCCTCTTGATACAGAAGTTTAGCTTTGTTCCAGATATTCAGAAACTAAATGCAACAAGTCACTTTTCTCAACAGACTGAACATAATTTTTTATTCATTTCCTTTAATATATTTTACAGATCTTCTGCAACATTCTGTAGCCCATAAGCATTGATAGTATAACGATAATATCATTCATTTTCATACTACAAAACAAAAGACAATATATATATATATATATATATGTATATAGAAAACTTGTTTCTAATGATGAAACAAGATGATAGACATACATTTATTATTCTTATTTATTTTATCAACAATGTACAATTAATAAGATAGAACAAATACAAATATCTTCAAGGACTAATATAAGAGGTTATTGAGAAAAAGAAGAAGGGACAAAGAGGAAGTTTCCTCTTTCGGAAATCTTTTTTTTTTTTTAATGTCTGACAGCATAATTGAGCGACAATTGTTTTCATACAGCTTCAGATGAAGTTAGAAAACCATTTTTTGCGTATGATCGTCTTTCTTTTGCCAATATCGTAGATTCATTACTATGTATCTTTTCATTATCTTCAAATATATTAGGACTTGATGATAAAAGACCATTAATTTCAGTATTTGCAGCTGTTATTGTTATTCTTCGTGTTGAAGTTTTTCCATTTAAAACTGATGATTTTCTTCCAGTAGTTTGTGATATTAATGATGGTCGTGTTCCAAAATAAGTTAAAGTTTTTCGTCGATGTTTTGAAAATGTTATACAAAAATGTTCAGTTAAAACAATAAAAAATAATGGATTAAGTATACCTTCAATATGACTAAGTAAAACAACAAGTTGATGAGCATATTTAAGAAAACGTTTTAATAATGGTCGTCGTCGTATAGTTTCATCAAGAAGAAAACTTGTATAAAATTTAAATATCCAAAATGGTGTATAACATATTAAAAATGATAAAACAATACATAAAACAAGTTTAACACCACGTGTTCGACGTTTTATTATATTTAAACGTGTTAATCTTCGTTTACGATTTAACCATTGATGTAAAAATCGAAGTAATTTTAATGAAAATAAAACAATTATTGAATATGGTATAATAAAAGCCATTATATATAATATCATTTCATAGATAAGTAAATCACGTTCAGATAACATTGAACGACATGTTAACATAGGTGAGAATGTTGTAGAATTTTTATTTGTAGTATTACTTTGATCATAAAGATATGTATAAAAAATAAATGGATATGGTAAAAGTAAACCAACTGTCCATATAATCAATAATGATATAAAAGTAATTAATAAACGAAATTTTACTGCTAATTTTGAACGAGCATCTATATAACGTTCAACACTTAATGCTGCTACTGTATAGACAATTACCTAAAAAAAAAAGAAATATATGTAAGATGTCATTTTATCTTATGACAAAATGCAATTGAATTCTGATTGATTAAGAATTTTATAACTATGAATTTTTTTTTTTTTTCTATAGCAAATTGTCTAATCTCCTATGTTTCTTGATGTGTTATCTTTTTTGAAAAATATTCTATTCTGATTTAGTATGAAAAACTAATTCGAAAAAAATATTATATGATTTTATTTATACTAAATAATCAGGTCAAAGAAGCGTTTCCCAGTATAGATAGTCGTAACATGCTGTAAAGTATGTATTTCGAAACATGTTCATAAGTTTATCTACTTTGGCGTGACGATAGATAAAACGAAGTGTCTTATAATTGTGTGCTAGAAAAATACCGACTTAGACTTTTTTTGAGTTATTTTTTTACTACTAACAAAAATAGATGTTATGCCGATTTCAGTCACGTAAATGTAGAAACATATGAAAAGTACAATAGTACTTACCCAGATCAATGATTCTGGCGCCCGCGGATTTCCGGCAGAATTCCGCTGAAAATATCGAGAACAAGATAAGACCTTGACAGCAGAAATCCAGTACCTGAATCCGGATTTTCCTCCTATATTCCCGAGTTTTTGAACTGACAAGGGTCCGTATTTCTTGACATCGACAGTAGTTTTTATTACTATGATTCAAAATCAGAACAAAATAAATATCATATTCGAAATTAATATAACAAACTACCTCCGATAATAAATAGTTCATCGAAGAATAATATTTTTTTCCAATAAAAATACGCAATTCTTATGAGCAGTTTTTCTCAAGTTTCGTCGGCGATCTCCCACGGATGTATTTTTCATAAAAGAATATTATATTTGTTTTGGTAAGTCCTTTAATTATCATCGAAGATAGTTTGTTATACTAAGTCCACATGTGGTATTTATTTTGTTCTGAAATTGAATTAATTATTATAACAGAAACTACGAAGTATTATCGTGTTTTTGACATGTTCCTATGCTCATGTCACTGGAATCAGGAAAAAAAAGTCTATGTTCTCAATAGTAAAAGAAAGTCTGGCAAATATCAAATAAATACTTTTCGAGCTCGGAATGATACGACGTTTACGAAAAAAATTTTGAAATACACGCTTTGCAATATATCATATTGAATCAGAATAGAACACTTTTTCAAAAAGTAAATTTATGGTGATAAATTCTTCTTTATAATCATTTCAGTTTTCTCAAGTTTTTCTTTTCGTGTCTAAACAAATAATAAAATCGAAATGAAAGTCATATATTCATAATAAAATCGTCAAAATTTATCATGCCATAATAGAAATAAGTAAAAAAAAAAATATCATTGACTCCAATTTAGCATGAAGCATGGTACATAGATGAACTCAAAGAACATCTTAAAGGTTATTCTTCTTTTATATAAGATAATAACTGTTCTTAGTAGTAATATTTCCTGAACATATATCTCTAAGATCAATTCTTACATTCAATAGCGTCTAGATTTATCATGAATGTATACTTCAGATTATTAAAATATAATTAAATAATATAAAGTAAGATATAGTGTTTAGTTCTAGACGTCATCGAAGATATCAGATCATTTTTGTTTAACTAAAAGATACAACATGCTAGCCATAAGAATAGTTTCTTTACAAAGAAAACTCTATATTGATGAACTTTTTATTCTTAGTTATGCGAATTAGGTACTTATCACTTTTTAAGGCTAATTGC